CACCGGAGGCCCACGAATCTATCAATGGCCATCCCAGCCAGGAGGAAGCTGTCCATGGTCCCGAACAGGTGGAAGGCGTACATCTGGGCAAGGCAGCCGGCAAAGGGGATGGCCCTGCTTTGGGTGTGGATGTTCACCAGCATCTTGGGGACGGTGGTGGAGGAGAAGGAGACATCCACCAGGGACAGGTTGGAGAGGAAGAAGTACATGGGGGTGTGCAGGTGGGAGTCTGTGATGATAGCCAGGACGATGAGCAGGTTTCCGGTGACGGTGACCAGGTACATGGACAGGAACAGCCCGAACAGGAGCGTCCGATGCTCTGGATTTGCCGAGAGTCCTAAGAGGAGGAATTCTGAGACAGTTGTTTGGTTTTCTGGTTCCATGGACAGTTGATGTCTGCTGGGAACAAAAAGGAAAGAGATGAGATAGAAAGTTGGGAGTCAGGGGACCAGCAGTTGGCGTCATGGCTATGTTGCTGGACTCTCACGTAGTTGACTACGGTTCGAGTCCCGGACCCGGTGTCTTAAACTCACACTGGGCGCGTGTGCGTGTGTGCCCAAGATCCTGAGAGGAGAATGGAGGAGAAGGGGTTGCGGCATGGCCACCTCCCCGGGGGTGATTTCTTGCTTTCTGTCTCTCTGTCTTTCTCTGTCTTTCTGGGGAATGCGCACACCTTATAGCAAAAACCTCTCAAAAAAAAAAAAAAAAAAAAAAAAAAAAAGGAAAGAAAGCTGGGAGTTAGAGATGGGGTTCTGACCTTGGCTTCCCCCCCGAGACCTACAGGGCTCTGTGAAAATATGTTGAGTCTTGTGGTCTGGTGGTTAAGGCAGTTGGATCCCACATGGCTGACCACATGGTTCAAATCCTGGCTGGGTGGGGGATTCAGAAACATGTTGGGTATATATGCATGTGTGCCCCAAATCCTGACAGGGTGAAGAAATGGGGGATTCTGGGATGACCATGCCCTGTAGAAGCGGAATGCCTTCTCTCTCTGTCTCTGTCTCTCTCTGGCAAGTGCACATGCCCCCTAACAAAAAACAAAATCATTAAATTCCTCCAGCGAATTTCTTTTTGTTAAATCATCTTTTTAAAGAATTATTTAATTTAATATATTTATTTTAATTTGACGAGAGAGAGAGAGAGAGAGAGAGAGAGAGAGAGAGAGAGAGAGAGAGAGAGAGAGAGAGAGAGAGAGAGAGAGAAAAAACCACAGTCAGCCATGTGGGAGTCCAGCGCCCCCAACCACCCCACTCCTTGCCGGCCCCTTTGTTAAATTATCTTCAGGCTGGGACCAGCAGGTAGTGTGGTGGTTAAGCTACATGGCTGACCACATTTTGAGTCTTGGACCTGGTGGCTTGGTTTCTCACTTTCCCTCTCTCTCTCTCTCTTTCTCTTTCTCTCTCTCTGGTGAGCCCACATCATGCCCTACAGCAAGTTAAAAAAAATCTTCAGCCTGGTCCCTAGCCTAGTGGTTAAGGAAACTGGATCCCACATGGCTGACTGTGGTTCGAATCCAGCCCTGGTGGCTTGGAAAACTCATCAGGTGCGTGTATGTGTGTATGGTCCAAATCCCTGTGGGGTGGAAAAATGGAGGAAGAAAGATTTTAGAGTGACCATGCCCCACTGCGGAGAAGAAGGGAGTGTTTCTCTCTCTTTCTTGCAAACCCTTGTACTCTCTGGGGGTGAAAACCCAAACAAATGAATTTAAAAAATGGTAAGTTATTGTCAAGCTATGTTCTGTGAGTTTCTATTACTCCCCAAGCCTGAGACACTGAGTGTCTCAAAACCCTCAGTTCGGACCAGCAGTTAGCGTAATGGCTATGTCACTGGACTCCCACGTAGTCGACCGTGGTTCGAGTCCCGGACCCAGTGGCTTAAACTCATGCCGGGCGCATGTGCGTGCGTGCCCAAGATCCCGAGAGGAGAATGGAGGAGAAGGGATTGCGGCGTGGCCATTCCCTCTGGGGGGTGATTTCTCACTTTCTATTTCTCTGTCTCTGTCTGTCTGGCGAGCGCATGCGCCCTATAGCAAAAAAAACCTCTCAAAAAAGGAAAAAAAACTCTTCAGTTCGTTGTTTATCATCAACTTGGATGTTTTCTATAAACATCTTTGTTTTTCTTCAGTGGGCCAAAGCTTCGCAGAAGACAAAGGCAAGCAAAATCAAATCTAAATTCAATGCTATATGTTAAAGATATCTTTTCTTGCTCTTTATTCTTTTTCTTTCTTTCTTCCTCTTTTTTCTCCTTCTTTCTTTCTTTCTCTTTTTTCTCTTCTTTCTTTCTTTCTTTCTTTCTTTCTTTCTTTCTTTCTTTCTCTCTTCTCTTTCTTCTCTTTCTTCTTTTTAGTTAGGTTTTTGCCAAGGGGTGCATGCATGCACTGAAGACAGAGACAGAGAGAGGGAAGGTGAGAAATCACCCCCCCCCCAGGGGCATGGCCATGCTGCAATCCCTTCTCTGCCATTCTCCTCTTGGGATTTTGGACACGCACATGCACCTGGCATGCTTTTAAAGCCACTGGGTCCAGGACTCAAACCTCGGTTGACCATATGGGAGTTCAGTGCCTTAACCACTATGCCACCTGCTGGCCCCCAGTTTTCCATTTTCTTTATCTCTTTCTCTTGTCTTTTTTTCCTGCCTCCCTTCATTTTATCTATCCGCCAACAAAACATAATTTTTAAAAAGAATGATTTATTTATTCTTTTTTAGTTTGCTCTAGGGCATGTGCACTCACCAGAGAGAGAGAGAGAGAGAGAGAGAGAGAGAGAGCAAGGTGCCAGGTCTGAGACTTGACCCGTGGTCAGCCATATGGGGGGTGTCTAGCTTCTTAGTCATCATGCCACCTGCTGGCTCCCAACAAAATACAATTTTAGGATTCATTTTGTGTTGAGAAAAGATGAGTGGTTAAAGAAAATGTAATACACACACACACATAAAATGAAATATGATTCAGGCTTACAAAGAAGGAAATGTTATTTGCAACGACATGCAACCGAGGGGTCTCCAAGGTGTTGTGAGAGGGAGGAGAAGGTAAAATAGCTCCTATGAGAAGCAGGACCCTCAGAGGTGGAAGAGGTGTTGAAAGGGAGTTTTCAGGACTGTTAGCAGCATCATTCCTGAACTCCAAGAGATCTCTAGCAAAGACCTTTATAAGGGGACGTCAGAAAGTTCATGGATAGGGGCCAGTAGGTGGCATAGTGGTTACGATGCTGGACTTTCACATGAGTGATTGCAGTTCAAGTCCCAGACCTGGTGGCTTGCCCACTCTTTCTCTGGTCAAATACAAAAAAAAAAAAAATAATAATAATGATAGGAGCTGGCAGGGGCATGGTGTTTTAGGGCACTAGACTCCCACATGGCCGACCGTGGTTCGAGTCCTGGACCTGGTGGCTTGACCCTCTGTGGTCAAATGAAATAAATAAATAAGGTTAAATAAAATAATTCTTAAAAAATGATAATACATCAAATTAAATAAATAATTCTTTTATTAAAACAAAGTTCATGAAAAAGTGGAATTAGAGTACAAGTTTGGACCAGCCAGTGGCATGCATGGTGGTTAAAGTGACTGGATCTCACATGGCTCACCTTGTGGTTTGAATCCTGGACCTGGCAGCTTGAAAAATACAATAAATGAGTGATTGATATCTCCCATGGGAGAGAGACCGAGATAAAGAGATGGGGTCTCCACACTGTGATCCACCTTGGGGCTCAGCCAGCCCAGATCACAGGGCACCTCTCCCTGGGCTTTCAGAGAGGTTCTGGGATGTGAACCTGGCATCCTTCCCATGTGAGTCTACTGGGGCTACCACTGTCCCACTCTCAGGCCCAGCGACCTGTGCTTTAAGAGGCCCTCCAGGTGACTCTGGTGCACACTCAAGGTTGAGAACCGCCGAACTGCTGCTCTAAAGCAACTCAAGTCAAGAACACCAGGGACGTTGCCAATACGTTCCCAGGAAGGGATTCATAGTCTTATAGGCAACTTGGAGAGACCAGAGTGCTGCGTCCCCAGAGCCTCAACCCAGCGCCAAACAGCCTTGAAAAGGAATCACAAAGGGGCCTCCAATGTTTCATGGAAAATTCATGTTAGAAAACACTAGGCATAGGTTTCGAAACTAGATGGCACCGAGAACCAGCAGTTAGCGTAATGGCTATGTCGTTGGACTCCCACGTAGTCGACCGCGGTCCGTGTCCCGGACCCGGTGGCTTAAAACTCACGCCGGGCGCGTGTGCGTGCGTGCCCAAGATCCCAAGAGGAGAATGGAGGAGAAGGGATTGTGGCGTGACCATCCCCCCTGGGGGGTGATTTCTCGCTTTCTGTCTCTATGTCTCT